TTTAAAACATAAGTTATTAATTTTAAAAGTCCGTATAGGAAGAATTGCAGTTTACGATGAATTGATAACCAATAATGATCTTATTGTGTAGGCTTGCATTCGTTGGTACACGAATAATAATAATTCTTCGATGGGTTTCGTGGAAACAAATAAAAATTTAAAAAATACCCTTCTCAAACTATCAATAGAAAAAAAACAAAAAACAATATAGTTAGTCAACGATAATTTAAAATACAAATATATTCCATATAGTTCATGTATTATTAAATATCTATATAAACATACAAGGAAGGATATTATTACTTTTTAAAATTTTAATTAATGCATTGTCATTTTTGAAATGTAGCATCATGTTTTCTATTGTATGGCTGTAAAAAAATTAATTTCGAATTGTTGTTTTGAATTTCATTTTTACTCGTTACTGATAATAAAAAATACACTTATCATACTCATGAAGTAAAATTCCTATGGATCGAAAACTTATTGTTATGAGGTATTAAAAATGCATTATTTTTTAATACAACGTAGTTGAATACAACTACGTTTTGTTGGTATCCTACAATTATTAAAGTTATTGGTACGGGTGTTCGCCTTTTACCAAACAATTACTAAAAATATTATCATAATGACATAGTTAAACCAATAAATATAATATTATATATAATTTTAGTAATTTAAAGATTGCAATATACACATACGGATTATGAAATATATATATTTATTGGTATCCAATTGTATTCACATACTAGGTATATGGCAATAATTGAGTTACATTTGTCGTAAACAATTAAATATATATACTTACCGAGAATTACCTATTCGGCCGTTTTTGTTATGAATTTTATTTTATAATTTTTAAGTGTTTAATAAACTATTACTAATAGAATAATTGTCACAACTCGAAAATTGTGTTTCTATTGAACTTCTTGACCTTTTCCCCAAACTACATACATTATCAACTACATACATATATCGGTTATATTAAGAGTATAGAAAAAAAAAGGAACACTTGCAATATAATGAAAGGGTAAAGTTAAATCGTTGAAAGTCTACATAAGCTTGATAGGTTTATAAGACTTGTATCCACCACTTCAGTATATACCGGAAAAGTTAAAAAATTGTACTTCTGTCTGTTCTTAAGATATTAAATTTGTCGTTTTCACAATAAAATATTATTATATTTGACCTCTTACCAATTTTCATATGGTCTTGGTATTGTTTTGAAAATATTGATTTATAAATTCTATTATATTTAATGTTTATAAATGTCTAATAATCCCATCAGTTGAGGACCTCTAACTTGAGGTATTGTTTAATTAGCTTAGTTGTAAGTACGTAACAAATATTTTGAAATTATAGTTCTCATTCTTACAGAAATTTTATCAACAATAATCGGTAATGCAACCAGGATTAATTTCAAGGGGGGAGGTCCAGGGAAACAATTTATTTATCTACTGTTTTCCTGTTTTTTTCCTGAGTATATACATTATAAATAGATTTCATTACTTGATAAATTAAATTATACTATTTAATTTATGAATACATATTATTTAAATTTTTAAATTTATATTTGCAATATTGTTATTTCAATTAATTATTATTATTATGCCATTTAAGTTATGGTAAATGCATTATTTAGTAATATTATTTATAGTGTAAAATCCAAGCGCCGGTTTTCTTAATTTAATATATTTATAACTTCTTCCACTGTAATTGGGACTTCTAGGTGAATATTAATGATTAGCCAAACCATTCAATCTATTTCCAGAAGTAGTGTTCCTTAAATAGTTTTTAATTCTCTTGAGTGATGAGAATGTTCGTTTCGCTTCACATTATGTAACAGGGAAAACAACAAGAATGTGAAATAATTTAGGTTTTTATAACGTATATTGTAGTAGCAAGTATCGCAGTACATCACTATACATACACCGCCAGTCTTATCGCTGATATTTATTTAATATATAATATTATTATCGGCTATCGCCAGTCAGTTGACCTCATAGAAAACCTACAGATGAAAATATACGACGTATCAATGTGATATACATATATTTTATCTTTCACTGTGGTTGCAATTATTATGATATGGTAGGTTATTGACACAGATATCTATAATATAATGGATAGTCCACCACCTTGGGTTCGCCACTGACAATAATACAAATCATTTTACAAGAATATTGTTTTTACGTAAAATTAGAAAAGTTAATGCAATTCAAAATAATCAGTCAGCTGAAATTTCAAATTTGAACTGAATGCAAAATTATTAGTAATATTTTAACTAAGAAATCTCAGATGATGTTTATGAATTAATCACAAGTTTCAAAATTACATTGATTATAAATTATTAAAACACATTGCATTTGTGTGCATTATTTAACCCTTGAAAATTTGAATTTAAAATATTTAAAAATGTAAAGACTTAATACTTTGACAAGAGGGTAAATGGCAGGATAACTTTAGTTTTGCTCCGTGGAAAACTAGTATCTGTATACACTTTATAGTATACTTTGACTTTGAATGTTGCCTCATACAAATGTCAGATTAAGTTTCAACGTCCTCAAAGTTACCTTTTAATGTACCGATGGCTTGTCATTTTATACTTTGTTTTATAACATGCTGGGCGCTGGCATGATTTTAATCCTCGTAAGCTTCAAAAATATTTAATTTTAATATATCAGTATTCAGAAAGACAAAACTATTTTTTCATACTGTATCCAAAAGAAAATTATTATTTACAACAAACTAGTCGTTGTGAACAGTTATAATTTATTTTTAATGAAAATATTTATTATTTTTTTTTATCGAGCAATTCAATTCATTTAAAAAATCGTTAATGGTAAAAATGTGTGATAATTAATTAATAACTTATTAGTAATACTTAATAATAAATAAAATTCATTAACTTCAATAATCATGTAAGTACAGAATTTTAAATCATATTTTCAAAATTATTATTACTATACATTATATTCTCTATTATATGTCATAAAACGGCTGGGTAAATACACCGAAAAATATGTCCAACGCTACATAGACTAGATTTTCATGTTCAAATAAAGAACCTAAATTGAAATAAATCGTCACCTCCGATTTAAAAACGTAATGTACCTAAATACTTGAAATATATTTAAAACTTCAACATAACTTTGTTAGATAGTTCGTTGTTCATTCTTGTTTAGATGTTTTACTTTAAACTTGACTTAATAATTTATTACTAAATCGACCTGCTATCTGTGTACAATGTACATACATTACAATATATTTCAGATTTTTCAAAAGAATATTTAATAAATATACATATCATATAGGTATTCTATAATGGTGTTAATTTCTTGCAATTTAATCAGCAGCATTTTACATTAATATGTTCATTCAATAACATATTTTTTCAATACTCGATTTCCATAATGATCAAATTAACATAATTTTTATGTAGTATTGTTATAATCAACTATATATTTAAATAAATGTAATTTTTTTCTTATAAGTATACAATAAATTACAATGAATGCAAGAAAACGTTTTACTATTTTATTAATGTTATATGAAATACATAATATAATAATTCATTCATACATATGAATAAATAGTTAAATTGAAAATGTGTTGAGCATAATATTAGATTTTGAAACATATTTATTGAATAACCTATTTTTTGTTAATTAATTATAAATTTAAATGCATTTATAATACAAATGAAACAGATCAGTAGTATGATGTAAAAATAATTTAAATTACATTATTATAATTAGATATCATAATCCCTGTTATTTTTGTCACGTACCATTCAACGGTTCTGTGTACGTATTAACAATTTAATTTTAATTTTAATAATTTGTCTCATGGAATGACACATAAAACGTTTTATTTATTTTAATTTTCATTGGTATAATGTTTTAATTACAAAAACAATATGAAACATTAATCCATGTTTTTAACTCCGAGATTTTTTTCCGCACACTTTTGTCGATTATTTGAAATTCGATTACGAATAATAATAATATCGTGGTGATGGCACGCGATCGAGTGAACGCTGTTTTTTTTTCGGATTCCTACTTATATGAATGCCGACTCATCAATAAACAGTAAATGATAATATCGAGGGCTTCGAAAACGCATTTAGAACGTATGTCGGAGAACCAGGATAACAAAAACGGTCATGATTGTATTTGTGTTATTTCAATATTATTGTTGTAGTAATTGTTTTATCTAAATATAACCGTTTTATAGCCGCGTTTCGCGCGCGGACGTCGATCGTTGGTTACGGTTGGGTGGTGGAAGAGGGATGTGTGGCTTGACTCGTGGTGGCGGCAACTGGTCGTTATCACGTTTTGTTGTTCTATTTCGGTCCGTCGAAACGAAACCAATTCATCCGGAAAAAACGTTTCCGACGGGTCCTCCGGCACCGGTGCGGGGGTTATCCTCGACCGTTTTTCGCGCACACACTTGTTGTAGACCGTAGTTATTGCGTACTCTAATAATAGCTTAGTTCACACGTCACGCAAAGTACAAGAATGAGTTATGTTATTTACATGTTCGGCCGTCGCGCAGGTCAATTCGACTAAACGAGCTCTAAAAACGGTGACTGGAAAGTCTGTACCATCGGCACGCATCCAAATCGCAGTAAATATTTCCGTGATAACCCTTCGGAAAATCGCTCGATTTTTTTTTTTTTTTGTTCTCTTCGGAAAAACCGGAGCCGTTGGGCCGTGGATCGAATTCAAGTCGCGTCGTCGCGTACGCGTACGTTACCATTCTCTTGGTGCAGCGAACGTAAAGCACCTACCGCGGTTGCGTTTTTCGCTTCGCAATCGTTTTACAAGCGAACCGCGTCCGCGACGGCGACGTCGTTGCCATTAACACGAAACGGCTAATCGCACGGTCGTCGTCGACGTACGTACATCATCGCGCGACCGTTTATCCTTCCACTCCGTGCGCGCGCGTCAGTGTGCGTCTGCGTGCGACCACGCGCCTGTGTGTGCGTGCGTGTGCGACCGATAGTGCGCGTACGTTTGTGTGTGTATGCGCCGCCGCCGTTCGGTTTTATTATTATCAACATTACTTAATTTACAGTCGTCAGTTCCGTGTGTCGTGTTACGTGTCCGTTTGTGTTCAGTCGCTTCGATTCTTATTTTCCTCGTTTTTTTTTCTCTCTATTACTGTTGTGTATGCGTGTACGTGCGTGTGTATGTGTATGTGTGTGAGTATGTGTACTATATTAATGTACGAATAATTTCACGTGTTTCAATTTTAATTTTATTATCGACTCTCCCGGCACCGTTCAACCGTCGTACAATTTTATATATTATATTATACGTTATATTCATATATATATATCGTATTATGTACGCGAGGTTGTCCCGCCGCTGTTGTCTTACCGTTCCCCCGTCGTCGTCGTAATCGACGGCACTTCCGAACGTCACGTCGCTCCCACGCGTTCCCACACATCTCTCTTCCGATAGCTGTTCCCGTTCCGAAATCGCCATTTCGGAAAAACTGACGACCTGCGCGCCAACAGCCAGCAGCACGTTTACCCCAATCAACGTTGTCCGCCGCCGTCGCCGCCGGACGCAGCTCTCCACCATGCCCTATGCTTCGCCTGGTAAGTGACGTCGCGCGTTTTTCGTTATCGACTTCTTAAGTTACCACCGAATATTTTATTATATATATTTTTTCTCCGTCCGATCGGTCTGATTATCTTGTGTGCCGGTCGAAACATCTTTATTAATGTGTAACGTTATCGGCATTATCTGGATCATTGTGTGGTAAGCCGGCCGGCTTATTTATAAACACTTGGTTAGGGAAAACCCCCGAAAAGTTACACGGGACTTGGTGGTCGGTAATTAAATTGAGGTTACATTTTACGACTAACGCGGTATGTCGTGTTTGTTTTTATCCTAGTGCGATTGATGCCCTGCGTGTTGTCTACCTACACTAACAACATAATTGTTCTTTATCAATAAAATGACTGCTGCATTTGCACTTATTCGCTGACGATCTAATCCGAATTTTCTACATCATTTATGGGACGGCGGACGTCTGAGTACCACTGTTCTTAGATTGAATGGTATTTTATTCCAAATCCCATTGCTCGATAGGCGTGTAGTCTAATCATTTTAAGATTCTAATGTATTATAAATTCTGTTGATTTTATTTTTAAATGTGTGCGAAAAATAGACTTACCTCGTACGCTAATTTATATTTTTTGATTATTAATTTATGACGCATAGTGGTTTTATTTTCGTCTCCCTACTGTTGGTCTGATTTTGGGTCTTTAATTAAAATCATAGTGACTTATGTGTACCAAATATGTAAGCATGCTTATGACTACAACGGCGTACTTAATAATCTTATAGGCTATTGAAAAATCACCGCTTTAAATTACTTAAATATATTTGTGTATATATATATATATATATATATATGTACTTTTTATCTAAAATAAAATTTCAATCAGCATTAAAAAATCCCTTCTATTTCTTTAATATTAGTTTGTGACATGGTCAACAAAAAAAAAAATTCGTAATATCGCCAGTCAATGTGTGCTAATATTATTATTTTAAAAATATTAAATAACATAATATTATATATATATATTATTACCTACTTGTTTCATTAAATTCAAATTTACATCTTCTTACATGATAGATATGTTTACACATTTATTAGATAAATATTCTTAATGTCCAAATTTTAATAATGTTTAAAATATTCCTTTTAAATTTTTTTCTCAATCGGTGACACACGTTTAAATTAAATGGTGTAGCAAGATTTGATGCGGAACTATTTTAATTTTATATGTTCGAAACTATTGCAGTCAATATTTCACATTTGAATTGCTTAATGCAACTGTAGTTTTACAACATAGTCATTACTCTAATTTTGTAGAAATGAGGAGGGGGCCTAATTTGAATTTACTGAAGAAAAAAAATAATGGTAAATATATATATATATATATTAGTTAAAATATATTTTAAAATTATAAAATATGAAAAGTTAATAAATTCATTAAGTTCATTGGTTTTAACTAATTTACACTTAAAGATATACCTATATAGTATTTATTTTACATTACATTACTTAATATATAATACATCTAAATGTGAGGTATAAAATTCCTTAGCCCTCCCTCTTGAAACTGCGCCTGAATATTTTAACCCACTTCAGACGTGTTTTAATAAAGGTGTAGGTTAGGTCCGCTACACTGAGTGATAAGGATGGGTGCCCCTGTCCTCAATATGTACCGCTGTAGTGATTATTTTACTGGTTAATGGTGGTCGACCGGTGAAGCTTGTATCTGCTTTCCCGAAGAATGCATGGTTTTGCGTGTCAATTAACGCATATTTCATCTATATAATTACTACTCTTAAGAAAGAAATAGCTCTCGTAAATAGTTCTCTTGCGATCTTTGTTTCATATTAATGTAGATCTTGACGATAATTTATGAGCCGGCGTTAGTGTAAATAATTTATTAATTGGCAAACACTCTATTTGAAAGTTATTGAATTAAAATTGTATAGAGAATGTATGTATTTGAAAAAACTGAATATGTTTACGTGTATCGACTATTTGTTCATCTTTAATGGATGATTTTCTCTGTTAATGATTGTATTTGATAAAAACTACTATTATATAATTCGATGAATTGAAAAATTCAGCCATTTATTCTTATGACGGGTACAATTAAAACGGAAAACCCTACTTATATACTTGACTAAATTAAATACATGGATGGGAATACACATGAGGATGATATTATAAATTCTAATTTTTATATTATAATACATTTAAGTAAATATATTTAATTTTTTTTTTTTTTATTGTTGTGTGATCATTCAAATTGACGGATTCATTGATTTAATTATAATTCTTATATTTATTGTATTCTGATACCATTTATTTAACGTAATTTAAAAATTACACAATTTTTTTTTTTTTTTGTTTAAAAGTCAGTATTCAAATATAAATAACTGAAAATGAACTAAATGAAAACTCATAATAAGTGTGTACATAAAACAATTTCTAGTTATTTCGACAAATCTCACAAAATAGCAATCATCAACACTTCTGCAAGTAATACCTCCCAGTCGGTCTTCTTTTATTTTTATTTTTAAAATAACACAAAACTGTTAAAAGATTGCATTGAATTAAATTTTGATTATATTCATTTTTTATTTTTACCGAGAAATTCATTTACGTTAAGTTTGTTATTTGAGATTTTTCATTGTTATTTGTTTTTTCAGCATAATATTGTATCACATTCTAATTTTAACTTCGTAATTGAAAATATTAAAATTTTTTTAAAAAGGATTAAATAAATATGGGTTGTTTGTTTTATTGCCATTTTTAATGTTTATGACCAATTATAAATTATGTATAGTATAGATATGAGTATATCATTTAACATTTATGTAAATCGTTTACACAATGATTCTTAGTCATAACCTCCATGTAAATAGAAATAAAAATGTTTAATGATATGAACAACTACAAGCAAATTGATATTTAATTAATTTATTTATTTTCCGTTATGTTTATATATTATAAATACCGACCATTATAATATACATTCACATATACCTACCGAAAATTTATTTGCAATTAAGTTTACAAAGTTCTAAACTATTTTTAATTTTGATAATTTCAATAACTGTTGAATTCGAAAGAAATTGATTTATTGTAGTTTTATATTGATATATCAATAAATGATTTAGAATTGCATGTATATAAGCTAATAACGTATGTAAATTATTAAGTATTTAATTAAGGTTAAAGGTTAATTAAATTTTTGGAATAGAATAATTAATATTTTACGTTGTCGTTGAACGAAACGTACTATATTTTAACCTTCAATTTTTATTACACGTGTAACAAATAAGTTCCGATAACTGACCCGGTATTGCTCTTATTCTATAGCACTGGAGCCTGCTAGCAAGTTTTTGGCCACAAGTTAGGTAAAATATTATTATTAAGAATTATTTATTTTGTTTAAAAATATATAGATGATGACGAAACAGCACTATTTCTTAAACATATTATCCTTATTAGCAATATCGCATAATTATCAAAATAATTATTATAGACTTCAGAACAATCATATGTTTAGTTATTTCTAGAAACGTTATTGTACTATCGAGGTTTTTTGCCATGGGATTGACGAATCTATAAATCGTATAAATGACCATGTGATCGATTATATTCCGTAGCCGTACCTGTGTGTGGTGATAGTAGGGATGGCGGTATAAAACATGCTTGTAATTATTAAATGGAAAATATATTAATTTTGGAAATTTTATTGGAAAATACAAATGTATACAAATTATTGACCTAAATGTACACCGACATAGTCTTAATCCATTTGACTACAATATTGTTCTATCTAACTTTACGTTGCTATTGAATATGTAGTATTCTGTCTTTAGTTGTAACTATTAGAGCAGGGATTCTTAAACTTTTATAAACACTGTACCCCTTTTTATCAATAAGCTTTTTTTGGTACCCCTTCTTAGTAAACTAAAATAAACGTAAAAAAAAATTAAAAACATACCTACATTTTTATTTCATTATAAACTAGTATGTTAACAAAAAATGTTAAAAATAAAAAGAGCTTACTTTCAAAGAAATTAGTAAATAGGGTGAGTTTGTTTTTGTTAGCACAGTTGATCATTATTGGGTTCTAATTTAATTAAATACAATCTTAAATCATCTTCAACATTTAATTTGTTTCTATATTTACTTTTAACATAAGTTAAACTTGAATAACCTTTTCCATATAAATAATTTAAATTTCAAGGTTTGTTGGCCAGACTCGTACACCTTAAAAAATCTCGAGTACCCCAAGGTGTATGCGTATCACAGTTTAAGAACTATCGTATTAGAGATTCAAATGACTGTTATCAATCGTTGTACTTTGCCGATTGGCCAAATTTTCTTACCGATATTTTTGGCTACGAAACCAATTGGATACTGATATTTTATCGATTATTTACATGTGTGTACAAATTAATTATTTTAGATATTATTTTTTTATGTTGTTATGATAATATTGAAGTGATGACGTGATATCTTTCGATACACGCCAAAAATATAAAATGTCATCCAAAAGTCATTACTTAATTATTTTATTTATTTGCTTTAAACTAAGACCGGTAGATATTGCTGTAACATAATTAATTTATTGGATAAATAATATAACTTAGGTGCTTTTGAATCAAAAAATATTGAAAATTTGTGTTAATTTTACTATTAGTTAAAATTTAATATATTTTACGATAAAATGTATAGAACATAAGTCAAATTTCAGAAAAAATCAGAAATGTGTAATTATGCTATTTTTAGTTATTATAGCAATGCTTTAAATTAAATAATAAAGAATTTAATTTCTAGATTCAATCAATGCAATACATCATTATTGTAATAATATCCGTTTTTAACCTATGTTAAGTGATATGAGTAAATAACTGTTTATTATTATATACTTTAACATGTATTATATGTAAACAGAGTGGAGGTTTAGGACAAAAGTAGCTGACCCCAAATAGAAAAGTGAAGAAGAAGATATAGATTAGGTATTTATATTAGAGTTGAAACGTATACGGTAAT